GCTAAATGTTCCAGACATGAATTCTGACGAGAGTGAGAAACCTAACCTGCTTGTAATTGACAGAGCCTACCTTTCCCATTGGTTGCACTTTTTTTTTTTTTTTTTTTTTTTTTTTTTTTGATGTGGACAAGAGAGAAGAGGAAGGAAAATTAGTGAGATTTTTGTTTTTATAATATCTCTCTAACTTTCTGTCATGTTACCTTTTCAAACAGAGCATGAAATGTAATTCACCAAACTTATGTGAGGGCACCCAACAGGCTTTGGAGCCACTGATTTCAGAGCTTTTCTAAACACCAGGAAATGCCAGTGGCTGCAGGGAAGAACATATTGGAGTGGATGCTCTGAGGTCCCTAGGTGTCTGGCATTGTAATGGCTTTGTCATTTGGAAAAGAAAGTGGAAATGCTGAAAGAACTGGCACTGTGTCTTACTGTTCTTCAGAGTTCTCAGGGAGCTATGGGAGAGGTGCTATGGAGACCTGCATGTTGGGCTTTCAGGCAACAAACAAGTGTTTGCTTCTTATGTTTCTGGATTTCAGTCCAGACTAAGACATCTACAGGGATGTTGAGGAACAAACACAGGGAATTTAATGATTTAATCCGATGCACAGCATATAGAACTTCTAAGGGCAGGACCACATTGCAAAATAGTGTTATTTTGACTAATCAGACCAAATGATGGTAATTATTAAATGACCAGTGAAGATCATGTGGTGTAATACTATCATGAAAACAAGACGTGGTGTTCTGGAAAGCTGCTTATATTACTTATATCATCAGTGAATGATACCTGCCTGCTTTGTGTTTCAGCAGTTGTGAGATAGCTAGTGAAGCAAGTGCTGGGCAGCAGGAAGGGCAGAGTTGATATTGTGGGATAAAACCAAGGACACTGCATTGTCTCAGGTTTTATCAGAGATGAGGACATGAGATGGCAGGCAAATGGCCAGTAATTGTGTATTTCTCTGGGTTTGAATGCTTGACTCTTTCAGATAAATTGAACAGTTTATTTAATCTGAAGTCAAGGGGAGCAACATTACTGAAACAGTCAACAAACACCCTGAAGAGTGACGTTGCAGTGCATTTTGGAACTTTTCACTTTGTCATTTCCTTAACAAAACTGCCACCAAGAGTATGGTGAGGAAGAATTGGATAAAACTTCAGGCAGTTTAACAGCAGTTCTATCTGCTGTCTAAAAGATGATAAGCAGAGTTGATGGGTTCTTTAAGAGCATGGTGGACAATCGTTTCCAAGCCCACATATGGTATAGTAGCCCATCAGCTCTGGGAGGACACTAGGTCCTGGAGTGTTGACAGAACACAGAATATGATCCATAGTGATTCCAAAGCACAGTTTGGAGATAGTACCTCTGCTTTTACCTTCAGAAAATTAGGTATTTTCCATCTTGGCACTGACTGCCGTTAAATACACAAGTATAGGCCAGTAATTTGCTCAAATGTACAAGAAATTGTTTTGTGATAGGAATTCAGTGTGTTTGTTGGTTTAAAAAAAAGAAAGTCTAAAACCTTGACAGTGTCCCAGCTCATCAGATTATTAGACCATGTCTACAGTGTCGTTAATGAGATCTATCCAGATTTGTCACTAAAAATAGCAATGGACAAATAGTAAGTGTTCGATGTAGAGGGTCACCTTGGAGCAGTTACACTCTCCTGTAATGTCAGTCTCTTTTTACTCAATTTCACTAAAGTAGTTATCTGGCTGTAAAGCAGTTCAGGCAGTAATGTAGGATGTCATATATATTCCTTTAATTATTATGATCTTCCTTGTAGCAATTATAATTTGCTTTATTGCAGATAACAGCGAATTGGTAGATAAAAACTAGACAGATATGAAAAGTTGTACGTTGTAGCTTTTAGATGGAAAGTATAGCAGCTGGTTCTTGGTTAACTTTGTTTTTTAAACTCAAAGATTATTTTGGAACATCAATTAAAAAGAAACAAAGGACAATAAGAATATTTTTTGATAACTATAGTGCATAACAGAATTTACTTGTTTGTCTCATTGATAGTACACAAGATGTAGGCTTTCCTTCAGTTGCAGAGGAAGAAATCTCTATATGAATGCCAGAAGCATCTATTGACTGCTTTTTCTCAGACTATATGGGAAAATTTTCCTTATTGCTTGCATTTCTCCCAAAAGACTGTTAAAGTCCTATATTCTTTTTGACAGCATACCAATTTTGCTGCACTTATTTGTCCATATATGGGAAATTGTTGGTGGGACTCAGGTGTTTCCCTGAGTAGAATCCATTTCTGATGTACAGTTGTTAGGTCAGTTTATGGCCGTTATAAGTACTTTTTTTTTTTTCAACATTCAGAAGCATATATATTGAATAATCTCGTTAAGGTCTGGCTTTGTATAGTTTGTTTTTCCTTCAAAAATGATAATGGGAATTGGAAAAATAGCTCTGTCAAATAATCAGATTCCACAGAAATGCTGTGGCTTTGTTGTTTACTGTTAGCCCATGGAAACAAATTACTATGCATTATTATTATTTTTAGTTCATTTATTTGGGAAAGTCGATATATGCAAAATGCAAAAATGGCTTCAGAAAGTCTAGGTGTTAATTTTTAGAGTAAATCCAAACTGTACATTGCTGACAGATGCCATGGCCTTTCCTTCCCTATGGCACATCATCAGTGTATAAGTCATTAAGATAAAATATACTTTAAACAAGAAGGAGACCATTATTCCTTCTCATTTAGACCCTGAACTGTCCCCACAATCTTTTTATAGTTCATTATCATCAACCTAGGCGATAATGGAGAATTCCCTTGCCCCTGCCAGTGCTGCTGTGAAAGGTAAAGCTGCCTTTTATTCTTTGACTGTGTCCTTTGTGGAGAGCTATGACTCATGGCAGAAGCAAGATTTGTTTAGCACTACGTTTGCATTTGCTGCCTGATAAGTATTAATTTTTACAGTCTTATCCACATGCTCCAGTTAGCTTCTGACTCTCGTGCACTGTTTCGTATACCAGTGGTTGTGGCAAGGCTTGGAGGCACCTGCTGGTGGTGTTGGGTGCCCTAAGGCGAGATGTCTAGCTTTGCTCCCCTCCCACTGTGTACATTGTATAGGCTGTTCTGCTCCACCCCTGTAGGCGTTTGCTGGATGGACTAGCTTCATTCTTCCTGGTGGCTAAAGGAACAGGATGGACTACTTGGCTCAGGGGTTTGGACTGTTGGGTGTTTTTAAAGTGATTGTGAGGTTTGCATTTTCTTGGTTTTATTTGCAATTACTGTATCAGATTTATTTAGTATTTAGCATTTAAAAACAATTTAGTGAAGGCATATTTTAGAATTGACTAAGACATGAAATGAAATTGAAAAAAAAAAAAAGACGAGAGATTGTCAGAGGCAAATATTTCACTGTAAGGGAAGGAATTATTTTATCAAGTTTGAAGCAGTTTACCATGTCACTATAATCACTTGCTGACAGTATTAAAGTTTAGCTTCTGATACCTTTCAGTGCTTTATCAGGGGACTTGACATTTGTGTAAGGTATCAGTAAGGACGTAAGTACATAGGTACATTTGCCTTCGTTGATGCCAAGGCATCATAATCTGGAAAATTTATGGCAGGATTTCAACTTCAGTATTGCCAGAAATGAAATTAATCCAAGGTGGAAGTGTCCTTTTTGAGAGTTCAAATCCTTCTTGGAATTACTTTTCTCATTCCCTTCCTGCTTTTTTGCAACTAAGCCTTTACCATTTTTGGAAAACATTGGCTGTACTAATATACCAAACTCACTTTACTCTTTTTCATTGACTCGAAATTGAGGTTAACAAAGTCGATTTTAAGCAAGTAGTACACACTAGTAATGATTTTTGTCCCAAAGAACAGCACTGACTTGAACAGTATGGAAGTGCTGATGCTCTTGCTTTGTGCAAGAGCCCATAATGACAAAGTGTTCTTGTCAGAGTATATAATGAAACTATAAATTGTTTTCATGACTGCTGTGATATTTGGTCTCTTGCAGAGCACATTCAGAAAGTATTTAGTGCCACGTCTTATGTGAGTAACACCAGAAATAGAAATATAGGCTTTAGCATGAGCAGTGTCAAGTGACGGGTAAGAAGAATCTGCTGATTGAACACCATGTTAAGTGAAAAAAGTTGCCTCAAACTTCTGATAGGTAACATTCAGCCACAGCAGCAGAGGGTGGCATACATGTTACTCTCTTACTCTCAGTGGGGAAAGGCAGTGGAGCAGATCATGCTTGGAACAGCTAAGATTTGCAAGTTCTGCTTTGCTTTGTGCATGAGCCCTGTACAAAAGAGGCAGTGGCTGGAGGGGAAGGCTCAACTCTCTGCCCTCCCTCCCCATTCAGGTGTTTGCAATATTCCTGCCTTATTTCCCATTCTTTTGACTCAGCAAGCACATACACAGAGTATCCCAGCTGAATTAGTTTCTTTTAATCTGTGCAAATAAAGTATCACACTGCAGTTGTTTCAGACTCAAAGTAAGTTTTGGTTGCCACTCATGCTACTGTTTCTGCTGAACATGGTCCTTGGGAGGCTGAGCACAGAGAACATTGCTGGTAGGTGGGGAGAGGAAGAGAAGAGAAGGGGGAAAGAGGCAGGAAATGTTGGTTGCGAACTGAGAGCTGGGCATTGTGGACACAAGTGGAAAAGAGAGTTTGCAAATATTTCTTCCTTCTAGCAGTCTTCCCAGGGCTGCAGGTCAAATTGTGAGGTTCTTCATACTATTGCATATGAAGAAAAAGAGGAGAAACTTGAATTTCTGAATTTTTCTAACTCACGGTGGTCAGTTGAGAATGTGGTCTTATAAATGAATTTCAGGCTTCTGAATCAAGAGATTTCTTTCCCATAATTGTTATTAATAAACTAAGATGACTTGTGTCAGACTTTGATCTCATGCAGAGAGTCTTCCTCCATCTTTGCAGAGAAAAACTTGAGCCTCTTGAATCCAGTACTTGCTGGGAAAAAATGGCTTATTATAATGATGTTTTTTTTCTCTTCTGCAGTATCTGGTGTGCAAAAGGAAGCTTGAAAGTAAAAAGGAGGCATTGCTTATCCTTTCCAAAGAGCTGGATACCTGTCAACAAGAAAGAGACCAGTACAAGCTTATGGCCAATCAGTTGCGGGAACGACACCAGTCTCTGAAAAAGAAGTATCGGGAGCTGATTGTAGGTTGTTCTTTATGAATACTGTATAATTGGGGGATAAAGGTGAACCTCAAAAAAAATGGAAATAAGTGCATAATGACTGCTGTAAAAATGTTTAGGTACTTGTTTACAGTAGTCCTGCAGTTGTACAGCCCTGATCATATTATTACTCATTTGTTCCGCATTGATGAAGTAGTGCCTGTTATATAAGACACAGAAAGACAGTGTGTGCTCTGAGGAAATTAGTTTCAGTCATAATTCCATTTAAAAACTGACTGCAGTATTATTATTCCACAGCAGCTTAATGTACCGTTATGAAAAATAATGCAACATAAATTTGTAATGACCTGCTGTTCTAGAAATGTAAACAAATCTTCAGCCTTGGACAATTTTTTGAGTTGAAATTAATATTACTGATATTAATCAAGATACGGTATTTTAGAAATAATTTTGTTAATGTTTTAGTTGAAATACATATTTTAAAACTTGATCCACAAAGTTAATATAGTTGCTGGCTTCAGAAATAAGTTACCAAGAAAATATGTCCATTTATTTGTAGGATGGGGATCCATCCCTTCCGCCTGAAAAAAGGAAACAGGTAGGAATTATTTTTTAGTTGACATTATTTATCAGCTACAAAAGTACTTTGCAGAAGTATGAAAACGTTAGCTAAGAAGTCTGGTAAAAAGCAAGCATTTCTGTCTATTGAAAAGCTCAGTCTTTAAACTGTGGACTCTTGTGCTTTTGTCTAAACATGTTTCACTCTGAAATATCTGAACTATCATTAATTAGAATATATGGCTATTGCTTTTATGTTCACCTGAGACTGGAATTGGTCAGTGTATGGAGACTTGAGATTGTTTTCTTTGTTGTTTATCCTTCTTGTATTGAGTCCTAAAATGGGTTTGTGACAAGACTTCTCGTACATAAAAGCAATCTGGAAATGCATTGTCTGCATTCCATAATTGTTAATTTATTGTTGTGAGTACTGTTTTCCATTAGGTACTCTCCCAGGTCACTCGAGTTCTGTGAGTTATAAATGGTAAGAACAATGGTAATTGCACTTTGATTCCCCTGAAAAACTTCTTGCCTGCTCACTTTTTTTTGTTGTTGCCAACAAAAGAGATCCATGTAGTGTGTCCCTCATGTGGAGTGTTGGTTGTCACATCTTAAAATTATCTTAATTTTTAGAGAAAAATGGCACCCAAAACACAGTGTGTGAGCAGGGGGAGGAGGACAACCCAAAAGGAGTAAAATTTTTGCTGTAATTGCTAGTCCTGCCAGTCTTTTAACCATGTTTAAAACATGGTTATTGCATTATCTTAATGGATCAGAAGTTTTACCAATCATCATTTCCCTGGAAGCTTCGATGTAGTTCTTGCTATTTTCTTAAAATTTTAAGGGCTTATGGTTTTGCTTGATTCAAACTAAACTTTCAGAGGCAATATAATTACTCCTTTGGGCACTGAAACAAATAGCTGCCAAGAAGTCAGTGGCTCAGTGTACAATCATTTAACTTCCTCATTATTTAGCATAATTTATTTGAAATTCTGTTATTTCAACAGAGGTCATATAAAAGTTTATGGCCAAATACAGGTTTATGCATTCTGACTACTAAAAATGGAACTGAAGATTATACAATTAAAAGGGGAAAAAAGCAATGCAGTATATGGGTCATTGCAGAGATAAATAGGGAGGGAGATGTGCCATCCCATGGATATTGTTCTAATTTGTCTTTCATCTTTCAAAACAAATAAATCTGATACTTGTTTCTAAAATACTAGCAAAGTTTAGTCTAAAATCAGAAGCTGCAATTATATTAAGTTTTGGCCAATCTTACCATCCTAAGTGCCTGGAAATCCATTTAATAATCTAGCTATGGGTTGTCTGTTTTCTGAGGAAGTTAGGTATTCATGCTAGGTGACTGAAAGAAAGAAAAGCTTGTTCTCTGATGGGGTCATTTATAGGCCTCCCTCAAGGACAATATATACTTTAGGTTGTACAGTAATAGGCTGTTAGTGTACTTCTTTTCATTTTCCTGAGAGGTATGTCTGTAGCAAAGTGGATAATCTGGAGTAGTTAGGGTCTTTCTGAAGAAGAGTACAGTTTTGCTTTGAGAAATACATCAAAAAATCCTAAAGTTATGAATATTATTCCATTGTTACTGTACATACATTTCTTAGCATTGTCTGATGTAAGAAAGAGCGATGTTCTCTGTGCTCTTTTGCACTTTTTCCATCCCCTTTTTGCCCAGAAGCCTAGTTGCCGGCTGGGAGAAATTTGTGACCATAGTCACTTTATAGGGTTAGGGTCTCTGTTTTTATAATGAATTTTGTGTGGCATAGAAGTACATGCTGTTCTTGTGGTCAGAAATGAGATAAAAATGTGATAAACTGAACAACACATTTCTTTACTGCAACTCAGAAATTATGGTTGAAATTGCAATCTAGAACCTTAAATGTAATAGGTGGGTTAGAATTGCCGTTTTCTTCTCCTTCATCTCTTCATTTTTCACCTTTATTATCAATTACACTTTGTGCCTTCTTAAAATTACTTGTTTTCAATGTTGTACCTTCTCTTCCTGTTTTGCAAGACAGAAATTTCATGTTTTGTATGGAAATATCATATAACCAGGCAATTTCTATCAGCAAGCAGTTAACTTAGAATGTGTTTTTGTAAAATTGGTGTTACTGAAAGGTATCTTAACAGGCAGTGTTTTGCAGTGTTTTCCCTCTCAAAGCTGTGTGTGCAGTGGTACACATCTCTGACATAAGCCAAAGATTGCTCTATGTGTCTCACCTTCTGCCAGCCAACAAAAGCAGGAAATGAGAAACTTTGCTATTGAAATCTCTTTTCCTGCAGTACATGTTTTGCCATTAGTGTTGTTATCACAGCCTGTGAGCTGTCAGTGCTTTCCTGGTCCCTCTTTCTAAACATTCACAATTAAATGCTGTGGTTTAAGGTAGTTTTATAATGTCTTGTAGTGTCTGTTGTAGGAGTAATTTTTGGACAAATAATGGAGGGGTGAAATGTTTCAGAAGGATAGGAATAATGAAAGTTAACATTCACCACAGGTGGTAAACAACAGACACTCCCCATTTTGAAAGGCATGTTAAAATGTTGTTTTCTCTACACAGCCTCTGTTATGCATCCTGTACAAATAGAAATTCTACCATTCTGCAGTGGTATATATTTATATGCATTTGCTGTGATAGAGAACATTTTTATAACCTTGGCAAACAAGTACTGGATATCTGTTGGACAGTGTTACCATGCTGGGAAACTTAAAGAAGAAAACATAGTTGGGATTTTTTAGCTTGATTTATACTGACTATTATTTTTGTCTATATTGCTTAAAATTTCAGTATAACTTCAGTTTGGGAGAAGCTTTGTCGCTGAAATAACAGATCAATGAATCCTTTGACATTCTATATGAAATGGAAGTTCTTTTAATACAAATAAGCTCCTTTGAATAAACGAAGGTGAAGTAAAATGCATGGTTAGGAAAATGACTGTGCTGGGCCACAGCCCTAAATATGCTTTGCTTAATTTGATCTCAGTGAGACCACTCAGTTGGAGATAATGGGTTTGCAGTGGGGCTGTGTGTCAAAAATAAAGCCGCAATGCATATGTTCACTGGTGAGGACTTATATTTGTATTTTAAATATATGAGGAATCAAATTAAATGGAGCTAAGCATCACAAGATTACAGAATGGTTGAGGTGGAAAGGCAACTCTTGTGATAACTAGTCCAGTCCCCCTGCTCAAGCAGGGTCACCTAGAGCAGGTGGCCCAGGACTGTGTCCAGTCAAGTTTTGAATATCTGCAAGGATGGAGACTCCACAGCCTCTCTGGGCAGCCTGTTCCAGTGTTTGACCACTCTCACAGTAAAAAAAGAGGGGGGTGTGTGTCTCAGATACTTGCAGGTATTGGGGTGACTAAAGTCCCTCATGAGAACCCAGGGCAGTGAACATGAAGCTTCTTCCAGTTCTGTGAAGAAGACTTTATCTCTATCTGATTAGGAATGCTATAGCAGAGACCCAGTACAACAGCATACATGTTGACCTACCCACTAATCTTGACCTAAAAGCTCTCGGCTGACTCCTGACCTGTCCCAAGACAGAGCCCCATTCATTCCAGTTACTCTTATCACATAAAGGGCAGCACCCCTCCACACCTTCCTGCCATCCTTCCTAAAGAGCCTGTATCCCTCCATTACAGCATTCCAGCTGTGTCAGCTATCACACCATTTCTCCATGATCCCAATGAGATTGCAGCCCTGTAGCTGCACACAGACTGAACTCTTCCCCGTGCTGCATGTGTTAGAGTAGAGGCTTCTGAGGGGCATCCAGGTGTGTTGGTTCCACAGTACAGGCTTGAGAGCTTTCCTCATGAGGCTGTTTTGCAAGCACTTCCTTCTTTACATGTCTATGATTAAAGGAATTACACTTCAGCTCAGTTGCTTTGCAAATTGCTATGTCCCCTCCTTTCCCATCATCCCAGGCTATTGGCTTGCCTACCCTATCCTAAGCCTCCTTGTTCCGTCCCCCAAAATTTCTAAATTAAAGCTTTCCTTATGAAGTTGGCCAGCCTGTTGGCAAAGATAGTTTTGCTTCATGTAGTCAGGTGGATCCTCTGTCTTGCAAGCAGCTATTGAGCCTTAGAGAGGGTCCCGTGGTCATAGAACCACAGGAGGTTCTTAATAATGAGCCTCACATCATAAGGATGACATAGTCCTAGTATAGAGCACAGCTTGATACCTACTCTTTTTGCCAGGAAAAAGTCTTATCAGAGACTTTCCTGAAGGTTGTGGTCCTTAACTCTGTTATAGTTATCTGGAGGTGTGCCGAGGTGATTCATTCAAACCAAGACTCTTGACTGCTTCAGCAATCATTGACATCACAGCAGCATGCTACCCACTCACCAAGATGTTGGTCAGACAGCTTGACTTCTGCTAATGAATAAGCTCATGAGCGTGGCATATGGGGGCAAACAGAACACCAGAAGGACCGGAGGTTCCAGACAGGAGTATGTTGTGACATACTACAAATTGGACCCATTTGGATCCATTCCACCTCCAGCTCCTAGTTTAATCTACTCAGCTGTCACAATTAACTTTTGAAACAAACTTCAGGGATCACTTTATGACAGTTTTTGACATCATCAGAAAAAATGACTAGTGTGACTATAGTGTGACTGTTTCTTGTTAATTAATGAATTTGGGAAGGTTTGCTAGTCTTGTGCTAAGGCACAAAAGCTGCATTCAGAGAGCCCTGTGAGATAAAATCTTCAGATAAAATACACTACAGAGTAAGCAATCATCTTGTATTTATCTCACAAGGGTGCTGTGAAGATTAATGTGATTTCCTCCTCTCTTTAGAGGGTTTGAAGATGAAAAACATTATGCATGCACTAAACTTAGACCTGTGCTTTGCTGTGGTTTGTAGGTGTGTGTGTTTGACTCCCATAGTGTGAGGTGGTAGGTGGAAAACAGTGAGATCGTTTGCCCTTGCAATGTATCAGAGAGCAATATTCCCATGGATTTCAAAATGTGCCTGCTCTGGGAGCATAGCTGGTAGAGAGATTTTGGTTCTGCAT